CTTCACACTGTTAAAGAGGTTTTTTTCGGCGGGGGTGGGGGCCGTAAAGGAAGGAAGAAAATACTGTGCAAAAACAAACTTATCTTCCGCCGGACTGTAGGATGCGGTTACACCTGATTTGTTTGATTAAACAACCATTCCAACATCGGCCGCCAACCACCGTTAAAGAGCTTGTTCAGTCAAAAAGCGCTGCGGGCCGCAGGCTTGACTGGCGTCGAGCCTGCGGCAATGTGAAAAGCCACAAGTGCCCATGTGAACAGCGCATTTTCCTCTGCATTAACTGTCCTCCCTCTCATCCTCGCTCATGAGTAAAAAGGGTCATGTGGAACACCCGTCAGATGGAGTCAGATGCACACAGGGACAGCATATTGATTTAGATGACTTTACACTTGTACAGGATTTACATTCACACAGAACTGAGGAATTGGAAAGAACCTTGAACACGCACGTACAGCGCAACCACAAAGATAAGAATGTGCTAATTCAATTGTTTGTTCCGTCGCTCAAAGACCGGGGTAATCAAGCATATGCAATTAGCTCCAGATGAAATTGACATTACAAGGCAATTTATTAGGATCTACAGAAGGGAAACCAGGTCAACCGAGTCCCTTATTATTAAAACATTTAGATAAATACTCTGGGGGACATTACATTCAGGCCCCTTTACTAGCTACAAACGCTGAGGTACTTCCGGGCTAATATGCTGTGTTGAGTATCACCGAGTTTACAAGCTTATATGCAACAAACCAATACGCTATTAAACAATAATTTTCACTACACAGGAACACCAGCAGCTGTCACTCATTACAAGATTCCTACATCCTACCCGAAGGGTATGTGTGCACCTCTCTCTCTCTCGTGAGAAAGAGGCAAGATGGCTCACTCGTTACTTTGCTTATCGACTCTGGAAGCAGTTGTTGTTGTTGTTTTTTCCAGTGTCGAAGATGGACAAGTGAGCAATCTGGTCCTTTTTTAATGTGTTGACAGACCCACCGGCAAAACTGCCACCTCGTTTTCAGTGTTGAAAAGGAAAGGAAAAATGGACATCTCTAAACCTCAATAACATTACCAGAACTCCTTTTTCTTTCATCTTCAAAGATAAGTACTTTGCCTTCGTTACCTCATCCTCAGATTATTGTAATGATGTTTCCTTCATCCTCCCATCGCATGTCACTAGTATGTTGACTGTGCTGCCCGTATTCTCCGACACCAACACACAACTCTGATTTCTGCTGTTTCGGATTCCCCCTTTAGTACAAAATACTCAAATTGATGTACAAAGCTCCTTGGCCCGTTATCTCTGCCTGCATGGCACTGATCGTATGCCCATTCTCCAGAAACCAACCCCATCAATCATTAACTACGTGCCTGCAGAACAGATTTAAAGCGTATCCATTAATTATTATTAATTATTAGTCAATCGAGACTACAGTCTGTCATAAACCATGCAAGACTAAAACTTATATTTTTCTATAAGAATATCAGTATAGTACACAGTGTACACACGGGTTAGCCCGATGTGTATAGTACACAGTGTACTAAACTGATAATCTTATAGAAAAATAGGATTTATAATAAAATATTTTGTCTCTGATGAAAATAGTCAAATAGTTTGCACTCCTCCAGTTCACAACAAGGGAAACTCAATTCTTGGAAGAAATTAAATTTTTTTTGGGGTTTCTTCATTTTATGTTTTTGGACACTGCACAGTGCCAGAGCCACTGTGTGTTTCTAGACCCCCTGGGGGCTCTATGCAAGAAGGACCCTGGGGCCCCCTAGAATCATGATAAATAAAGTCCAGGACTACGGATCAGTAAATACATTTTTTATTAAACAATTAACATATAAAATAAATCAATAGCATAACTATCTGAATGCAAACTTTATACACATCATATAAATAACAGAAAAACCAACACAGCTGACATGTGGAAATTTTTCAGGATGATATAAACGCAACTAAGCAAAAAAACAAACAAACAAGGAATTGAAGTAGAAAATAAGAACTTTCTGTGACACCTTGGTCCTATATCCACAGTCCAATAGTAAACTGCTGCTTGTGGGCCTTGGCTTCTGCAAATGCAGCCACTAAGTCTTCCATATCTAAGGACATCCGAAAATCAGTGCCAGTTCTGTGAGCCTCTCCTGGCAAATAGGTTTTGATCAACTTCAAAGCAGAAAAGCTCACCAGAGGCAACAGACTGTGCAGATCCAGAAGGTTTTCACTGTAAATGTAATTTAACATGTCATTTGGGCAGGTAGAGGCGTGGTGTGGAAAAGTGTAGACAGCAGAATTGATCTCCAATTCTAAATCATTCGCATCAATGTCATGCATTGTTTGCTCCAAGTTCTTGTAATATAGCTTAACAACAAAGCTTGCCACTCTTTACCATCTGTTACATGCTTTTCTTTGAAAACAGGAAACTGTAGAGAACATAGACATCTTCCAGTTTTGAGATTCTGTCCTTCTATGGGCTGTGTCTACTAGGGGGAGGAAGAACTCCCTTTTGATGGACTCTTCTGGACTGGACAGAGAGTGGGTTTCTGCTGCTCCCTCAAGCTGAAAGTGTTTTGATGCCATTTCTCTGGAAGCTCCATTTCAATTTCCAGTTTTTCTGTGATTTCTACTGCATCAGATTGACATAAAGACAGTGGTCCTTGAAGTTTTCCAGCTACTGCCTCACTCCCTGTGTTTCTGTTCTAAGAGTTTCCAGAGAAACATCTGGACTTTGCAGCAGCTTGCTCACAAGGTTTAACTGGTATAAGCCCAGAGAGATATGTTCGCTGTGTGTTTGACCGGGAACGCACGTCGACTCCGGCGAGTAAGGGGCCCCATTAGGGAGATTCCCGACGTGTCATTGCAGTGTCTACGGGCCTTTCAAGTTGTGTCGCTGGTATGGAGTGATATCAGCCGTCTGTCGGGCCCCTCTACTAGCAACTAGCCAGTGACATAAAGGGCCCCGCAAGGGGCATTTCCGATGCGTTGTCTAAAGTAGTTCCATTATTATGTCATTGACGTCAGCCATCCCTCGAGGCCTGCTCGGGGCCCTAGGAAATTGCCTGGGTTGCCTGCCCCGTTGCGGCGCCTCTGAGTACACTTTGCAATGTGCTGCACATTAAATATGAAACACAAAGCATTCAGACTTCCCACATGGTATGGAAATAAAATGACAGAACTAGACCAAAAGAATTTAGTTTAACCAGTAACACAAGATCCTGGAGATCAATGTGACTGAATCTATCTTTGATGCGCTTGTTAATGCCAGCAAAGTTAAAAAGATAAATAAAAATAGAACCAAAATACCCAAAGATTTTAGATGTTAGGTTTCATTTAGAGTTGCAGCCACAAAAAAAAACTAATTTTAGCAAACAAATTCTTGAGGTGGAATTTCTCGTCAGAAAATGGAGCGCTCGCAACGGGTGACAAGGTGTTCGGTGAACTTTCTCCCCCACTCTCTCTCTGACATCCACCTTGTGGGCCGTCCCCAGTGCAGATTCCCCACACGTTTGTGAATGTTTCCAACACGAGGGGGAGGGGCGGCGGTAAATAGAAGATGAAAGGTATCCGCCGAGCCAGGCCCAACTTGTGTGTAATTTCATTTGGAAAACCTAAATGTGGAAGTCCTTTTTATTCCCAGATGCACACACAAGAACTCTGATCAATCATTATTTTATCTAACGTTCTTTCATTCCTTATTGGATCACGTCTGAAGTTGAGAGTGTGGCATTTCTATTATTATTTGTCCATAATGCATACGTGCACGGGGTTTGTGGGCAAAACGTTTTCACCTAAGACACTAACAAGGCTCTTTCCCTTTAGTCCCAGTGAGCACAAGATGGAATTTCAACGTTGAAATCCAGTAGAAATCAGGTTGAAATTAGGTCTGAACGTCTAAGGCATCATTTCAACGTCTTTTCAACCAGCTAAAAAGTGGATGAAACATCAACGTGCCAAAATTCAATTTAAATGTGTCATGTTGTAACGTAAGGTTGAAAGAGAGATGATATTAACATTAAGATTTTCTTAATAATTAATGAACTGGTCGGCGAAATTTGGCCTACGCGAAGACGTGATTTCAACGTATTTAATATTTAACTGAAAACGTCATGAATATGAAACTACGGACTGTGTGCTGTTAATAAGATGCGTTTAAGACATAATAATGCAGGAAGGTTCAAACATTACTTGTAAACACGCAACTCCGAGTTCTCAGACGCTTGCAGAGCTTCGACCAGATGCAGCACGAGGTGAAGTTACAATATTAGAATAATTTCTGTCATAGGATTTGAATGCACTCTATAATGCACAAAATGAAGTTCCAATGATTCAGAAAAATTGGCAAGAAATACAGAATTCTAAACTAACTTGTCCGTGTTGTTTCTGCACTTTTAATTCCATAGTTTATTTTGCTGAAATATATTTTATTTTTGTGTTGTTTTTAATTAGGAAAAGTGTTGTTCTATTTATAACAAATACAAATGAATAAATTAATGTGTTTGTCCTTGTCAAGGGCTGTTAACATGACAACTGTGACTAAGTAACTACGTTTGCAGCGAGCAATTTATCCGTTGAAACGTTGAAAAGACGTTCATGTGTAGACCACATTTCAACCAGTCTGGCGACGCACATGGGATGGTATATTGATCTGGAGGGGGGGGCAATGGAGGTAATTGGGAGCGCCGCCCCTTCGAACCGCGAGAATGGGTTTTTGAGGCTCGGGGATGGAGCCGCGCCGCGGGAAAAAGGAGCCGAACAGACTCCATCCTGCCGCCACTTAAAATGTCCAGTTCGTTCTGAAGAAGCATCTCTATGGAAGCCCATTCAGAGCGTCACACTAATTGGAAAAAGGGAGGGGTGAAGAACTCGTTTGGCAGGTGAAATTGGACGTCGTGAGTCCCGCAGCAGCGTGTCCAGCTGGCCCGCGTCACGCTGCAGCGCAATCGGTTTATTTCCTCAAGTAGAACAAAACAAACAAAAGAAGCGGAAAACAATCACTTACTTTTGGCTTCTTCATATGGAACGACAGCAGCAAATCCAGTGTGTGCGAAAGCCTATTTCAATTTACTTCTACGGGGAGGAAAGGGGTTGTCATCATCCTGTGTACACATATCCAATGCTTAAGTCTGCGCAGTATCCAAGCACAAGAGAAACAAAGCTCCCGAGAGGAGCAGGAGGAGTAGGCCGAAGGAGAAGGGCAAAAAACGTGAAATCAAACTTTGAACCTTTGCAACGTGCAGGCTAACGGCGTCGGGGACGTAGCCCGTCTATCTACAACATACATCCGGAATGGAGCGGGACAGCGCGCGCAGGGAGGGCGTGAAGCTTTTAGAATGGTGCGTAAAGAGCCGCCCTCTGACGCGCACGGGGTTCACTCCGAAACCTCTACTGGCAATCTGAACCGGTCTAAATCAGACATGAAAGCGCTTTCACAACCCCGATGGCGGTGGACATTAATTGCACAATGCGTGGTGGATTTAGTAGACATTTAACCCGTAAGTGGCAACACAGTTGGACATGGGCTTGGGCTGATCGCGTTTTTGTGGTTGTTGGTTTCTTCTCCAACTTGGAATGATCTCAAAATGTATTGTTCTCATTTCGAAAAGGGCAAATGGCGTCATTGGCTTCTACGTTTTTCAACACTATCATTACAACAAAGAAACAAAGTAGAAAAGTATGCAATAAAAGTAATCACAGTGACACAACATTAGGATGGGTGTATTGTTATGATAAAATTCAGTGTATCCTCCATGAATCTGGATATCATTTATTTCATCAAGTCACACTGTGTGTGTGTGTGTGTGTGTGTGTGTGTGTGTGTGTGTGTGTTGATACATAATGGGGGGCAAGCGCAAACTGAGCAGGTCGACCAGGCAGGGGCCCAGTGGCCTCAATGTGCCTGATAGCCCCCCGACCTTAACCTTCAAAATGTCCTTCAGAGCGACTGAAGATGACGACAAAGCTAAGACCCCAAAGTGACACAAAAAAAAGACAACAAAGACCCCCAACAACAAACTACAGAACTACAACGAGATACAAACCAACTACAACATGATGATAAACAGCTGCAAGGGGACACAAAGACCCAAAACAACAGGATCAAAACAAGGACTCAGGAAGTCCACAAGGTGCCACGTGAAACATTCGTACGTGTCATACTTTATATTTATGATATTTGTGACGGAAATATTCAAATGTGTCATCTTTGCAGACAATAGAAATTTTATTTTGCTGTGGAAAATGTTGATGGATTTTAGGCCTGCTATTGAAAGGAAATCATCATAACTTGGTAGTTGTTGATGAATTGTCTCTTAATCTAAAGAAATAAAGAATGTATCCTTTTTGAAAACATAAAATAATCAGATGGGAATATTTAATAAAAATATTTGATGACATTAAGATCAATTGCTCACTTACATCTCCTTACATCTTGTTGTGAGCAGGATTTCTTTGTGAGGAGAGTGTAAAAAACTGCTTGATAAAGCATGTCGCACATACACACTTATCTCACCCAGTATGTCTGTGTGTATAAGAGTGTATTGCAAATTTGGGGGTTTAAAAAAGTATTGTTCACAAAGCTATTTTTGAGGGGTGTGTGTGAATGAAATACGTCTTTCTCCTTGAAATCTCTTAACATGTTATTCTTAGCTCGATGCACATCTGGGACTCGTCAAGGTTGGCGCATGTTTCTGCGTCTGCGTCGTTGCGTTGACGCACTCGTTTCAATTCATGGTTCTAAAAGAATTGCGTGTGTTGCAGAGCAATACACCTCCAGAACAACAGGTGGAGTAACGTATTTTGGTTGAAGACGACCCAGAGAGTCACGTCTTTATGTGTGGAAGTCGTTGGTTTGTTTATTTATTTGTCATAGACTTTATTGGCCCGTGCATCGACACTGCTGCTTTTCATCGCTGACACATTTGTCCCGTATTTTCCTCCACAACTTTGTTCCTCTCGACTGGATAAGCGGTCATATTTAACCATTTCTTCCAACAAAAGTTCTTCAATCTGATCCGTTCTCTCGTAAACATTCTTTGTTTTAATAATGGCGGTGTCGGCCCATGAAACCGGAAAATGTGAGACTCCGTAAGGGATGTAGTTAGCAGACCAATCGCAGCCTTGTGCGCTGCGGGAGGCTTGCGTCGCTTGCGCGCAAGCACGCAAGGAGGTGTGAAAAAACACGCAAGGGACACGCAAGGGGGTCTTGCGTCTGCGTCGCTCTGAAAACGCAGAAGCATAAACTAGGCTTTAGTCACTTCTCTCATTTGTCACAGTAGTCATCAGTCAGTGAGGTTAATTAACCCCCCGTTGTTTTGTTCCCCCGGTGACGACAGTCTGGAGTTTATTTGGAAAAAGACCCTCCTCTTGTCACCAGACTACAAAGACTGAAGCGGCGGCAGTGCGTCATGGCCTGAAGTTCTGAAGTAGCGAGCACCGAGGACGTGTCTTCTGTGGGCCCCTGAGCAACTTAGAAATCGTGAGCTCACTGTGTGAAATCACTGGGTTCGGGTCCAACATGTCACAGCGAGTGTTCCTTGTGGTGGCATCACGTGTTAAGCGGTGACCACGCATTCTGCTTTCCTCCTGGTTGCCTTCAGCTTTAGGGTTTTCTTGGTGACGTCGGCAGTTTGCGGTGGCTGAGCCCGGGTTCTCTTTCAGCGACCAAGGAGGCCGTGCTCTTGATTACACTTTGAGGGAATCATACTTTCTCTTCCCAGAAAACGTGGTAAACATGAATCATAGCAAAAGAAATCAAAGACCACGCCAACGAAACATCATAGCTTTGGCGTGAACTATAACTAAAACGTAACAAACGCAACAATATACTTGATTACATCTGAGCAACAGATGCACTCTGTCCACAAGGGACACAGACAGCGTTTTGCCCCGAGGTTTCTGACCTCCTCTCTAGGTTGACTTATTCTACGCTGTATTTAGGAAATATGAAAAAGTAAAAGCAATCCACAATATGTTTGTTGGGTTCCCAAAATGTGATCCATGGAATAAGGAGAGTAACAGTTATATTCAAGGCCAACAGATGAACAATCTGAGGTGGGAATTTATTAGTAATTAAATGAAAAAGGAACTCAAGGGAACACTATGCTTCCTGCAAGCAAGGCCACCCTGATTAACACACGTCCTAAACCAGACGAGAACAATATAGGGCCGAGGGGTCGGTCCCCCTACCAATGTCGAGCTGAGAAAACACCTGCAGTAGCCACACAAATCCACACACAAACATAGCTGGAAAAGGCTGCTCAAGATGCTGATTGAATACACCGGTTGGCGAGGTCATCACCTGCAGAGAGAAATAAAACAAAAAATCACTTAACAGTACAATAATGTTTTGGGAGACAGAATGAATTGTCCTCCTCAAGATGCCATAAAACAAAAGTATGGTCATGAAACACCTGCGACAGGTGCTGCATCCGTCGAGAAGAGGGACGCTTGTTTTTACATCCTTCAGGTCCGGAATGAGCTGGATGCAACCCACTGAACAACGGTTACGGTGGCATTTTCTCCTCCACTCCCCCACTCTCTTAACTGGTACCGGTGGACGCCCGCATCCAGTTCTAAGCATTGGTGCTCACGTACCATGCTGTGAATGGATCGGGTCTAGCTTACATCCAGGACATGGTCAAACCCTACATCCCGACCCGCACTCTCCGCTCTGCATCTGCAAAACTCCTTCCTCACTGAGGGCAAAACACTCGACTAGGTCACGACTCTTTGCTGTCCTTGCTCCGAAATGGTGGAACGAGCTCTCTGAAGACACCAGGACTGCAGAGATCCTTCACATCTTCCGCCGCAAACTAAAGACACACCTCTTCAGACTCTACCTCGACTAAAAGACTAACAAATTGCAGCACTTAAATTGTACTTTCAATTGCACTTTCTTGTTCTTTTGAGTTTGTATCCGTATGGTTGAAAATCACTTATTTTAAGTCGCTTTGGGTAAAAGGGTCAGTTGAATGACATGTAGTGTAATAATTTAACGTCTCTACTCTGTAATGTATCATTTGTGTGTTTTGTTGTTCGCATGGAATCAATTTGTAGTCGACATGTAACTTTGTTGCCTTCTTTTTATTTGGTAAGATAAGGGTAAACTAAAAATCAAAAATAACAGCGTTCTGTCAGAGAATATGAAAAACCACGAGTCATTTAACAACAGAGCAACAACTTTGAATTGGGAGAAATTAGAAAGGTTTGTGCAGCATGACAGTTTATATTCATACTGTCTCAATAGAAAACTGCTCGATAAAGCATGTTTCCCATACACACTTATCTTACCCAGTATGTCTTATCTGTTTATTCAATAAATGCCCCTGGATGCAGGTAATCTGGCATTTGAGATTAAAGTCGCTTCCTTTGAGGTTTTCTAGAACAAACCTTGTGTCTGTATCACTGTGGTGATATGATGGTGGGATTTACTTTATGGCTCCGCTAATGTCATTATTGCATAATATTTATTTCACAGTGGCCCAATTGTATTCAATGGCATTTCCTGCTGGCGTTGTCTGACCATAATGTCAACCCTTGGTTTGTGTTGCATGTGACATTTGGATTCCAAATTGGATTCCATTTGCGGTATTGTTAGGGATTTCAGCAAGAAGTGCACCCCTAGTGGTGGAAATTATAATACGTGTAATAATGTTTAGTTTAGAATTGTAGTTTGTGTGTTATTAGATATTAGTTAATACATTAGCATGTTAGATGAAGTGAATGCAATATGAATCAAACACAAGTTATAGTCATGTAAATCATGTAAACACTGTACACATTAATATTCTGTCATAATGGGGGACGGATGCTAGTTGCCGTCCTTTATGTATTTCTCCCAATTTTATCCCCAAAGAGGGTTTTTGGGAGTTTTTTTCTCCTGTCAGGTAGTAAATGAAGAACTTAATGCAAGGCAGCCGACTGAGGCAAATGTCTTGAGAATTGGACCACATGAATTAGATCTTATGATGTAGTGTGATGAATCATTTATGATGTGTTGTAATTAAAGTGTACTAGTTATAAGACAAACTATGTATGCTTTGTTATATTTCCTCATTGAGGCATGAAGCCAAATGTATCTACATTAAACGTTTTGGAATGTGAGGGATAGATAAGACAGAGAGGTTTCAGGTTTCAGCTGCAGCTTCACACCTCCAGGAGGAGACACGTTTGAAGGAGAAGCCAATGACATTCAAATGCCCCCAAGAAGACACACCTCAGGTGTTTTCAAATGACCAAAGGGGGAAAAGGACTGTTAGAATTCTCCTGCAGCTGCTTTGATAAGTCACTTTAGACT